CCCCCCCCCCCCCCCGCTGCCAAGGGAGCACTTCCTCCAGAGCCAACCTTTGAAGAGAAAGAACAATAATCAAATGATCCTCCCCAGGGGTTGGGTGGGTTATCAAGATTAGTGTGGGGCCTAAGCTAACTAAACAACAGAAGGCTTTCTGGGAACTGGGCTGTGTTTCTCTGCTGTGGCCAGGCGCCTGTTGTGATTTCTGTTCTGTGGCTCAGCCGGGGTCCTTGAAGCCTCTGTTGTTCTTTCCATTTTCCACTCTCTCATTCCAGTGGGGGGGGGGGGGGGGGGGGAGGAGGAGGAGGAGTGGGGGAGATGACGGAGAAGCAAGTCAGAGCCTCGGAGAGCCAAACTTCTCAGCAGCCCTGGAGCTGGAGAGTGGGGGAGAGAAAGCGCAGCAGCCGAAAGGGGGGGGGGGGGGGGGAGGAGGAGGAGGAGTGGGGGAGATGACGGAGAAGCAAGTCAGAGCCTCGGAGAGCCAAACTTCTCAGCAGCCCTGGAGCTGGAGAGTGGGGGAGAGAAAGCGCAGCAGCCGAAAGCTCAGATTCTCGGGAGCCTCCCACCCCGCCTCTCGGCGAGGAGGGCGCGGAGGCTCCGCTGGGGGAGGAGGAGGAGGCGGGGAGGGGGGAGACAACCCGACAAACCCTGCCCACTCGGCTCCAAGCCCGCAACGGCCGCGGAAGTCGGAGGCCGGCGCGCAGGGCGAGGAGGGCACCGAGGGCGGGGGGCTCCGCTCCCCGCCTGACCCCTCTCGCCCCAGCCAGGAAAGTGAAGGCCCCTCGGACTTTAGAGCCAGCGGACAAAACAACCGCGACCGCCAGCCGCTCCGGGTCAAGGACTTTCCCCGCCCGCCCCCCTCCTGCCCCCCAGGCGCTCCGAACTCACTGGTGAGCGCGGCGGCCAGGGCGCTGGATGCGGGGGCAGCTGCGATGGCCCCGCGCGCGGGACAGCCGGAGCAAAGGGGGCCGCTCCTGCCGGGGCTGCTGCTGGTGGCGGCGGCGCTGAGCCGGCCCGCCGCGCCCTGTCCCTTCCAGTGCTACTGCTTCGGCGGCCCCAAGCTGCTGTTGCGCTGCGCGTCGGGCGCGGAGCTCCGGCAGCCCCCGCGGGACGTGCCGCCCGACGCGCGCAACCTCACCATCGTGGGCGCCAACCTGACCGTGCTTCGCGCGGCCGCCTTCGCCGGCGGGGACGCTGACGGGGAGGAGGAGGCGGCGGCGGCGGCGGGCGGCGTGCGCCTGCCGCTCCTCAGCGCGCTGCGCCTCACGCACAACAACATCGAGGTGGTGGAGGACGGCGCCTTCGACGGGCTGCCCAGCCTGACGGCGCTCGACCTGAGCCACAACCCGCTGCGCGCGCTGGGCGGCGACGCCTTTCGCGGACTGCCTGCGCTGCGCTCCCTGCAGCTCAACCACGCGCTGGCGCGGGGCGACCCCAAGCTGCTGGCCGCGCTGGACGCCGCGCTCGCCCCGCTGGACGAGCTGCGCCTGCTGGGTCTGGCGGGCAACGCGCTGAGCCGCCTGCCGCCCGCAGCTCTAAGCCGCCCGCGCCTGGAGCAGCTGGACGCACGCCTCAACGCGTTAACTGGCCTGGGCCCCGACGAGCTGCGAGCGCTCGAGCGCGACGGCGGCCTCCCAGCGCCGCGCCTGCTGCTCGCCGACAACCCCCTGCGCTGCGGCTGTGCGGCGCGCGCCCTGCTGGCCTGGCTGCGCAACGCCACTGAGCGCGTACCCGACGCGCGGCGCCTGCGCTGCGCCGCCCCGCGGGCGCTGCAGGACCGGCCTTTCCTGGACCTGGACGACGCTCGGCTGCGCTGTGCCGACGGCGATGCATACGGTCGCGGGGAAGAAGTGGAACTCGCCGGCCCGGAGCTGGAAGCCTCCTACGTCTTCTTCGGGCTGGTGCTGGCGCTCATCGGCCTCATCTTCCTCATGGTGCTCTACCTAAACCGCCGCGGCATCCAGCGCTGGATGCGCAACTTGCGCGAGGCCTGCCGGGACCAGATGGAGGGCTACCATTACCGCTATGAGCAGGACGCAGACCCTCGCCGCGCGCCCGCTCCGGCTGCGCCCGCCGGCTCCCGCGCCACTTCCCCGGGCTCGGGCCTCTGAGTGTCACCCCTTGGGGGTTGATAGATGTCCCTGACAGTTGGTGACTTTACTGGGGCTATCTGGCCAGAAGCCATGGGTATGAGACGCCCGCGAGTAGGGGGCTTTGAGACTTGCCCCTGCCTGGCCTGAGACCTTTGGGTTATGGCATCCCCCCACCCAGAGACTCCAAGCTGTACCTCCTCTCCCCGGCCTCTGAGAGCTCTCACCATCAAAGATCGAGAGCCACCCCCTTCGGATTTCAGAAACCCACTTGCCCATCCCAGGCTCTGACACATCCCTCCTAAACCACCAAAAGCACCTTCCCCTTTTCAAGACTCTCCAGGAAACTTTGTCCTTCAAACTTTGTCCTGCCTCCACCACCCTGTACTTTGAGGCCTGCCCTCTCAGTGGGAAACCATCCTAGACATTACTGACTCCCATCTCCAGCTTGGAGACCTCAACTTCCTTCCCGGGGCTCAGGGACCCTTACATCCCATTCCGGTCTCAGAAGCAGGGCACCCCCACTTGAAGGTTTTTGTGGACTTTGAACCTTTTTTTCCATCCCGGAGCTCTGAGCCCTCTATCCTGCAGACACCCACATCCCCAGGCTCTGAGGGCTAGGCACCCTCCCCCAATTGGGGGGCGTATTTCATACTGCCCACCCCCCCGGAGCTCTGGCTCCGGCGCCTCCCTTCCTTGGCCCAGGCTTGGGGCTCAGCTCCAACTGTCTCCCATCCCAGGGACAGTCACACCCCGTTATAGCCTTAGTATGGAACCAATCCTCAGCCTTTCTCACCGGGGCTCCGATCCCCCAATACTCAGTGCTTGTCCCCTAATCTCCAGGCTCTGAGCTCTTCACCCTGATCTGAGTTTAATCCCCCTGCCCAAGTTTTAGGCTATCTATCCCCTCCTACACCCATCGCTTGCATTCACTATCCACCCCTGCCATTCATTGGGTCAGGGTCCAGTGAGGAACCCATTCCTGGGATGTGCCCATCCCCCCTTCCTCCTAGGGTGAGCTCTCCAGCCCTATAAGACAGGTGCAGGGGCCAGGTGTCCCCCAGCCGTCCTGGCCCGAACCAGATGCCCATGAGGAAGGAGAGACTCCTAGTTGGTTGGGCCTCAGAACCAGAATCACCTGTACATTTTGGCCTCAGAGAGAGGTAGAGGAGGGGCCCTGAAGGCCTGGGAGCTGTTGCCCACACACCCTTTCCCACCCATGTGACTCTTCTCTCCCGGGGTTTCCTTGATGTCATCCCCTCTCCCCCTTCCCCCGTGCCTTTTGGAAAAGATGAAGGGTCTCATTTCTTGTCTCAGGCACAAGCCGTCCTGTTTAGGGTCAGAGCCTCAGTGCCCTGCCTTCTGCATGATCCCAAAGCACAACAGGTGAGCGGGGAGGGGGCTGCCTCTCCCTGACTCCCATCCCCTAGGTCAGGCAGAATGGCTGGCCTGTGCTGTCTCTGCACACAGGAAGTCCCTCCTTCTTCAACATATTGGCTGAGGCCTGCCTTCCCACCCCCCACCCAAGACATCTGGATCTCCCTTGGGCAGTTTTCTATAAAGTCTGCAATAATCTCGGATACTCTACTCTTGTAAGTGGTGCCATGTCATTCCTGCTGACCTTGGGGCATTGAAGGAGGCGGGAGGGGACACCTGGGAGGGCATTTGGGACCTCCCTGAAGTGAGGCCGTGACCTTTGGTGTCTTCGCCTGGAGTATGGGAAAAAATAGGCTCTGACTGCATGTAGCCGGATTGAGGTGAGAGCATGGAGGGAATTCCCACTGTGATTGCATTGCTCTCCAAGCCAGCCTGCCTTTTATCCTCCGAGAGGGGGTTACCCACAGCCCAGATTGGATCCTACACTTCCTCTACACCCTCTTAACCCAGTCATTCCTCATCACTGCGGTGAGGGTGGTAGCTGTGCGGGAGATGCAGTTGGACTGACAAACACTAGCATCAGATGAGGCTATTGGGGAGGAAATCCAGCTACAGAGAATCAGAGGTAGTTAATTCAGGCGGGAGAGGAGGGATCATGATTTGCCACTTTGATACCATCCCCTCTGATGAACTGTCTGACATCCCTTACGACCTGTGTCATGCTACGCTGTCCTGGCTAGAGGGCTAAGAACTGCACCTTGGGTATGTGAGAGGAAAAGCAGCCTAGAGGTGGAGGGAGGTGGGTGGAGATAAAATGACCCCTTGAGATATGTGGAGCAAAGAGACAGGTGGGTTCCGGGCCAGTAGGGCCAGTGTTAGAGGCGTATCTCCTGCCCTAAGGTCCCCAGACTGGATTATTTTGCATTCGTGGTCTCAGGGCCC